ACCATGTCATGCACTCACCATGGCTAATGAGAGCGAGCGTACACTTCCACTACTACTACTATTATTCCTATACTCTACCATTCTACACTCCGGCGAGTCCGATGCGATTTCTCGGCGCGCCGGGAGAGCCTGGAGCAACGTTCTTTGCCGACATGTCGATTGATGCCTGATTAATGTGACCGGCTCGCGATCGACGTGAAATATGCGCACGGACAGGAGAGATTAAGAGACAAATTAAGATGTATCGCTAACGCATTGTGATGCAAATGTATCGTAAGGAAGCGCGTTTTATTCAAGGAACATGGACGCGGATACGCCGAGAAATATGAATCGGAACGTGTTGCATGAAGCTGCGTCTGGATGTTAACGTGGATATCTAAATACGTATTCCACACACTGGTATTCACTTGGTATTCACGTTTCCGGCTTGCACGACTTATCTCGCACCAAGGTATCCTTTTCCTCTGAAGCGTCCAGGAATTTTGCATCTTTCGCCGAAAAAAACATTGGCGGATTATTTTTCGCGCGTTAATACACGTGTTGTTTATTCGATGTCGTTATTCATTATAAATGATATTTTATCCAACAAAGTCAAAAACGTTTCCGCTTACACACACATATATATATATATATATATATATATATATATATGCGACATGCGTTTTAAATTCATCACTTTATCATAGACTGGTCTCACAGAGAAGATAAATTATTAATGCTTTTGTACGGCCTGTCGGACCGCATATGTAAATAGACGTTTGTAAATGCATGTGTTCTTCACGGCCGTCGATTAAATGCCAAGTGAAGCGGCTAAAAAGAGAGCTCCTACGTGATCGGCAAAGTCGCGGACGTCAAAGTTACTATTATTTAGGCCGCTCCGTGCCTAATTTCCGCGAGGCGCCGCGAGATTTTTTTCCTCCTCCTTTTTTCATCGCTCATTGTTCGCGAACACGCGCGCACCCCGAAGGCATTCGTATCTCCCGGGTGTGCACGTGATTTCTATTAAGGAAAATAACCGCGAGACACGCGGTTCGTGCACGATCGACCTCGAACGAAGTCGGCACTCGCGTTTCCTCGTCCGGACTTTTCTACGTGAAAGTTTCGGAGATGACGGCCTTAACAAAGCCATTAACGCGCGGAGGAGGGGGAGGGGACATCGCTCTGCGAATTATATATTTAACGAACCCTCGTAAATTCACCGCAAATGACGGAAGTCGATTGTTACTCCGACACAACAGCGCGCGCAACGAGATTAAAACGGAATTTATTAACCTCCTCGTAGCCTCGTAGCGCCTTCCTCCGCTCCGCCTCGCCCCTCTAAAACCGGAATAATTCACACAAATCAATATCGAAAGCCGACGGCTGGCATTATAATAGTGGGACATTTAGCATCGCTTTATTTTCGGAAACTTGTGAGTCGCGAAAGGTTAAAGTGTTAGCGATTCAAGGAACACTCGGTATCGACGAGTCGAATCGCTCGCCGCCGAGAGTTGGCCTCGCTCCAAGGGAGACGTGTGGCTCGTAGGTGGATATCGGGCAGGAAAACCTTTCCCGGGAATTTTTTATGCGAAAACACCGGGAATCCCGAGCTCGAACGAACGGCGATCGGAGCTTTATGCGGATAAACGCAAATCCTCAACGTTCAAACGAAAGAAAATGGTGAGGACGGGCCGCGGTCTCGCGCGCTAGCCGGTCGCTTCACGGTCGGGTAATTGATCGTGGAAATGACTTTTACGATAAAACGGAGTCAAAGTCAAGACGCTGGGATCTGACACGGACCTCGCTCAACTCGGTCAAGGTAGAAGATCGTTAGAACGACTCGCCGTAGGACACGCTCTATACGCGGCAACGAATATATCGCACGCGCTCCGCGATATGTTGCCGCTATTCTCACGATGGGTTGGATCATCGTTCCGAGAAACGTCGATCGAGGTAGCTGATGTGGACTTCGATTACGCCTGTTCGACATCGCGATATCCGATTCGCGAGGCGCGACTCTGCCGCTCGCTGGAAATCGTCGAGTACGAACGTCGTCCTCTCGCGAGAGAGCACTCGCGTTTCCTATACCCCCCCCCCCTCCTCTCCTTCCCCTCGACTTTCCCTTAATATGAGTGGCTTAAACGACACGACCGTTGTTTTCCACTTTCTTCATTGTGCGGCTGACACGCGTCTTCGTGGCACTCTCACCGAGCGAAATAAATGTGTGCGCGACTGTATAAAGTCAACGAATCCGACAGAACCCTCCCCCCCCCGCGCCCCGCGCCTTTTTACCCCGAGAACGCGCGCGTCTCGTGAAATCCGTGAAATTAAATTTTAAAGTTAATCGCGGAACACAATACGGGCGTGTCGCGTGCCGAGGAATTCCTCCGCTTCCTCCGACGGGAACGACGTCGCGCGACGATGCGGGGCGACGATATTATTCATATCGACGAAAGAGATTTCTCCGTGTGCCCGATTCTGCCGACAATCGCTGACATTTCTTCTGGGAGGACAGGTGGGAGGGCGCGTTTGAATTGTAATAAAAATGAGGTCGGCACCTCTCTTGTGGGCCAAGGCGTCGCGCGCGCGTTAGGCGATCTCCACTTTAAGAGAGAGAGAGACAGAGAGAGAGAGAGAGAGACACCATCGCGCGCGACACCGATCGATGTAACCTATTTTTTTTTCTTTACATCAACTCGTATTATATATTTATCGAATGAGAAACCGTATAAATATCGAAAATCTCTTTGCAAATTGTTGTAACGAATTTATGGACTGGAATATGCAAAATTCTACCTCGTGCCTCGCAATCTACAAGGACTAATTATATCGATCCAATTTGTGTTTATTTGTAAACTTTGAAGACCTAGACGCAATAAACAAAAATAAGAAATTAAATATAAAGAATTGAAAACAGAGAAAATATTTATTTTCGACCTACGAAAGAATATTTTTTACTATTTCTCGATTGTGTATCGAAACATGGATTTCCTATATGTCGAAATTTATTTCTTTATTCCTAACTTTCTACGTTTAATTTTTTTGTGCCTTATTCTTTTCATCTAGGCCCTTATTTCTTTTTACCAGTAATAAGGAATACAGCATGATATTATAAAATGCACATTTCGTGAACGTTTGCAAAGAAAAAAGAACGGTGCGGTTAAGCGAATTAAACGCGCTTATTATTCGCGTTCTGTCGCGAGATGAACGGGAGCGCGTTTAATAGTCTTACTCGGAATTCGCCGAGAAGTCCGGTATGACAAATTAATTAACGGTGCTCCCGGGTCGGCTCGTTAACTTAATTACCCTTGCGCGCGAGTTTGGATTTGCTCGACCGTAAAACGTACGGAGGCGAGGCCGGCTATACAACCACGACGAAACCTAAGATCGCATCGAACTGGTTCGCGATCGCGTATCAAATCGAAGGTCGGTATATTACATAGTTTAATTACCGAGATTCCTGTCTTTTGCGAAGCAGATGTATTTATCAGAGCGACAGTTAATTTGCGCGAAAGTTAAGTCGCATCGATTGCGAACCCAAGTCGTTTCGCTCACGAAAAAAGAAACTCATGTCGACGATATAGTTTTTATAGTAAATACATCTATATATAGCTGCGAATGTCAAGTTATTTCAGACAGACTCTCGTGGGAAATCTCTGTTCTTTCAATCGAGAAAACGATTTTCATTGAGAAAAAAATATTCTTTCCAAAACTTTCGCGTTTACTTACTTTTCTTAAAATAATATATTTATATTTTCAATCGTATCTACTGCATTCGTTACTTTAAAACAACTTGAAATATGTAGCTACACAGAGAGAAAGATTTTTTTTTACTTTTTGCATACCTATTTGTTTGATTCAAACAAAAATATAATCTTATATGAAACATTTACGAATGATGATATTGCATTAAACTATGTTATTTGATAGATAAAACACGAGTTTGAAACAATTTTTTTCGATGAAATAATATGTTCTTTAATTACACAAAATATTATTCAATAAAACATCCACGAGTAATAATCCACGAGTATCCACCATTGTTAGATAAATGCAGCAGAAAGTTCTATTTCTCGTAAATAAAAACCACAGGATAAATAAAAATCGCAATATTATGAGATCATTTCTAATAAAATGATTTTTTTTTTTAAATGAGTCCCCAAAATAGGAATTGCACTCAAATAAAGTATCTCAAAATAAGAGATAAAAATAAAGAGATAAAAGAGATAAAAGTAAATTAAATATTATTTTGACAATACAATTATTAAGATGACGAAAAAATGTCTTTATAGAAATTTCAGTATTTTTATTGAAATAAAATTGTTTGAATAATGTAATAAAATTGTTCAAGTTAAAAGCCAATTCCCCACTCCCTCAAAAAAAAACGTTTCCTTTCACATAAAAATATTTATTATTTGAAAAACAACTGTATTTTTTATTTTATCTTTTAGCTCAAACAATGAATCATTGGACTATTCCAACGAATAAATTCCTTTGGATTTTCGCAGATTTATTAAATCTATATCTTGTTCTCTCTGCGTAGGCAATATAATTCACGATAAATGCTGTTTCGCACACAAGAACGTGCGATATTCAGAACAACGAGGTCTTTGGTGAAGTAATTTGGAAACGGTATCTCACTAAAAAACACCAGATCGGAGAGAAATTTGGTGGAAATTCGATGCATATTTCACGAGAATCTTCTCAGGTTCGGATTAGTCGACCGTGGCCTTCGACAGTCCCGGATGGCCGATGGATACCTACGCGGGACGGCGACGCGGAGAGCCCGATCGATTCCATCGATTATCGATACCGGGGTTAAGGTCATTCTGCAATCTAAAAGCGATGTAGAACGACGTGTGCTCCTCGCACGCGCTTCTCGCCGCGTGACGACGAAGTCAGTCTATCGATCACCTGCGCTCGGAATAAACTTATCGAATAACGCCGCTCGGCAGATACCCCGAACTCCGAGATATGGCCGAGTTTAATGAGATTGCCTTTCGGGTCGATCCCGACGAGGATAAAAGACACCTCGAGACTTTCAAAGTAGAGAAGATTGAGGGGAAAGAATTAAGGGGAGAGAAGTTCGATGGACAAATCTCTGTTTTACATTATTCGTCTAGATCGCGGATTTTATCTCAGATTTCTTCTCTACACAACATTTATCTCTTCGAAATTAACTTGGGGTCAGATTCCGATCGAAGGGGATTCCGGGAAAAAAAAAAAAATCAGCCTCGAACATCGCGATTCCGAAATGTCCATCTAATTTAGGGACACTCGTACGACGAATGATATTTCGAGAGAAAGGCACGTCGCTTCTCATCAGTTCCAACTTGTCTCGACGCTTCCTCGAATTGTATCATCCCAGACGTTCAGCGATCGATCATTGCCGAACTATTA